AGCACAAACTGAGCACATTTCCTCACTCTGCTGTTGTCTTTAGTCTCTCTTCTCTACATGTTTATTGTTATTATTTCTATCAATAACATGTGTTTTCTCTAGACTCTTTCATAAGACAGGTCCACGATAGGGTTGGACAATACTGGCAAAAAAATTAATCACGATTAATTGTGGTATTTAGTCAATAAYGATTAATTTGATGATTAAAGCCCTGGACACCCTTATGTCCTGGTCACATGACCAATTTAGTGGGATAGATTTGCTCTTCATAAAAATCTGTTCCAAACAGTCAAAATTACAGACTTCAGGCTAAACATCAAATTTTTAACTGTGTTGATAGATAAATAAATCTCAGAATTTATTTATTTTTAATGTTCATCATATTTGAAGCCCAACCCTTGTCCATGAAATTGTTGAACAGATCAGTCCGGCTTTAATCCCCGTCGGGTCATTCATAAATCACAGGAAAAGGTCCCGCTCACATGTACATGTTYAGAAATGAACCCAGCAGAAGGAACCAAAAGAGGCATGGAGCAGAACTCAGCTGGGCTGAAGTGGACCGCAACTCATTGTATGATCTCTGCCTCGTATCAAACAAAACCAAATAAACTTACTTTAGTGATCCTATGGTTCAATATTTTTCAGACTTTAACAGTTTCTGTTTCATGTCATCTTTAATATTCCCTTGGTAAAAAAAATCTGTTGCTAAATCCTGCCGTCGCTCTCGGATGGCTCATTTTCTGAGCGTGGAAMTGTGGGTTGCTTTTATGTCATTTCAGTGTTTTCAGTAATGTTTATTTAATAAAACACATTTTGCAAGACTCGAGTTAGATGTAAAGTAGTCATACAAATATTTAACCATCTCTATAACCAGTGGTGGGCACCAGCCCGCTAAAGCACAAATCCGCTAATTGCGGACCAAAATACTTCATTTGCGCTTTAGTCTTACTAATTTTTATAATTCATAAGCAGATTTGCACTTTCTAAAATTAAAATGCAGTACCACTAATAATTAATTATCTACCAGTCATCATTATGWTGAACAGCAGAAGGTATGACTGTCAATGAATCACAACACATGTGATCTATCCAACAGCACCCCTCCCAGATAAACACACTTATTGTGAAGGTATACATCCTGATGACTGTTGCTTTGGGTCACGGTTCTGATTTCCCACAATGCTTTGAGTCTGCTTACGTAGCAGGAAGGCAGTGTTTAGAACTCCCTGTCCCAGCAAAAATAGTTAACGTTTGTAATCCATACTAAAATTTTGTATGTATTGATTTATTTTACTTTACAATCAGAGCTCCTTTTAAAAAAAGTTTAAACACTGGAGCTCAATACTTGACGTAATTGGTCGAAGCAACGAGGTTAGAAACTCAGAAATGATTTAAAGATGTTATGCAGGTGAAGACTGACATCTAGTGGTCAACTGGAGCAACTACATGGAAAACTTTAAAATCCAAGCTCTTATTTTGAAGGGAAAATAGTTTCCTGTACTCTGTGCTTTCGTTTCCCGTCACAAATCAAATCTGTCATGTACCCAGAATGCATCGCTTCAGTTTTCCAATAAACAGTTTTAAAATTACTTAATTGATGCTTCTTTAATGAAAAATCTACAACAAACAAAAGAAAAAGACAAAGAAGCAGCCGAACTAGTAATCCTCAACAACTTTTTAATTTTTACACCAGGAGCTAAAGGTCTGTTTCAGGAAATCACATCCCCGGCAATCGGCGGTTGAAGGATTAAGTTGTAAAAGAGTTCATACACCACTAGTTGGCAGTGTTGTGCATATATTGTACATGAATTGTTGCCAGCTAGTAAGTGTCAAATTGAACTTGCACTTTAAAATTATCTAATAAGAATAAGATGTGGTTACAGAAAGGAAGTATGTCATACTCACCTAAAAAGGATTATTTATGTATTCCATGTTTAAGAAATTTAAACATTAAATTTAGATTACAAAAGGAAATGGGAAACAAACTCACACTACACAWTGGTAACCATTTTGCTCCAATAGCACCACAACTCAGTTCTATCTGCCTGCTTCAGTCCAGCTGTCCAACTGGAAGGTGCTCCAAGACCCCCCGCAGATAACATACAGCTTCCCTCGTCACTGAAGAAGGCAGTTAAACACCTGAAAGGCGTAATTTAGGGTCAAAGCAGCCTGTGTCTGTGCTTTAACATCAGCAAAGTTCAACATTTTGTGTGCTTTTACTCAAACAACGTCCTCTACAGACACAGCCCTAATGTTATTGTTACAGATGGGAAATTTAATAAGGCAGCCTTGTTATTCTCCTTTTTGTCTTTTTTCCCATTAAGAGTGACATCAGAAAAAGGCAGGGCTAGTCTGAGGGGAAAAAAAAGCAAGCAAGAGGAAAAAAATGTAATTTCAATACAGGCAACCTCAACCCCCGCTTCCCGAGCCCCAACCCCCGCTTCCCGAGCCCCTCCCCTTCTGTCGAATCCCCCAACCTTTGTGAAAAACTGAAGGCATCAGTGGTTGGAGCACAGACAGCTGAAGTGACCGGCTTTTGAACCATGTCYTTGCCTGAGCCCAAGGACAGCTAAGACTACAGGGAGGCACATCTTTGGGAAGTGGGGCCTTGATTAAATCCTTGCGACTTGTAGCTACACACAAGCCAGGAGTGAGTGGAAGGCAGCACCTTGGAGCACCGGGACAAAGACAGACAGGGACATGAGTCCTGAGCACTGCAACTCCATGAAGACAACACACAACATACACATGAAACTATAACTGCAGGAAAACATCAGCACTCACTACTGGGGTCAAAAGAGGTAACTTTTCCTTTCATGTTTTCTTTTTTTCCCAATTGTGTGAGTGTTTTTGGCAATTTGATGTGTGTGCGTGCAGACACAAGTATGCACGAGTGTGTGTGTGTGTATGGGCAGCTGTGAAAGCTCTGGCTGAGAGGACATTTCGTGACTSAAAGTTGTAGCTGTAGACAGAAACATTAGCAATGCTTCTTTGGCTTTCCTCTTCAGAAAATTTGAGACGGAGGAAACAAGTTAAGAGAAAGGAATTCCAGCAACAAATACACTTAAGGGAGACTGATCTAATCATTTTCATCTCTTGAGGCTGTCGTGTTTATTTTGTTTTAGGCTTTGGTAATACAATCCCCTTCCACTCTGAACTCCAGAAGGAACTGATTTCACCTGGTGATGGTTTTACATCAGTAAGTGTGCACGTAATGAGGAGGTGACAGGTCTCGACACACACACTCCTTGCTACACATGCAGAACTCTGAGATACAATTCTTAAAAAAAACAACATTTTATAATAGGGGTACTGTGGGCTTGATAATAGACTTCAAGTTTACTCTAAAYATATCCTTTTTCATATACACACCCTGTGGACAGGAGATATTTGAGTCACAACCTTACTATGAAAAAGCTTTAGTCTGGTGCTCTTCCATATCAAATGCCTTCAAATGTTTCCACTAACATCCTGGAGTGCTGGTGAGGTCTGTGGAAAACATTCTGCTCACTACCAAGCCACATCTGTGAATGCTGTAACCAACCACGAGAGACACGAACGGTCCTTCAAAAAGTCAGAGCTTTAACAAAAGGGCTCAGAAAACATTTCACAGGCATCCCCGTCTTTCACTTGGAATTATAACTCACAATATCAATAATTCAGTCTGGAATGGAGGACGGAAAGCTGCAGAGAGAAAAAGGAGGCAGGAGCAGCTGTCTGAGACATGTTCAGAACATTCCGTGCTGGATCTCCAGCAACTAGTTTTCAGGTTCATCTGAACCTTCAGCATCAGGGGTTGGGAGACTTTAACGGCGTCATTAGTACCAAACCTCACATTAACTTACAATTCTCCTAAACTTCCACATCTGTTTGATGACTTTTCTATTTAAAAAGGTTTTAAAACTTCCTCAACAGTCCAACAAAAGGCCATCAAACTTCCTGTGGTACCTTCCAGCTGATCTGCCACAGACTTTGTTGTAACGTAACCATACACTAGCTGTGTTTCCATTGACCATGAAAATGCACAAATTAGAATTTCGAAAATAAATTTGCTCAATGGAAACATGTCAATTTAGGAAAAAAAAAAATACGTTTTTTGACAAAATGTTTTTGCGCTAGGATGAGGTGGTTTTTCAGCCGTATCGAAATTGGTGTTTTTC